GACCAATGATATTCCTCTGATTCTGTTTGGTAAAACCTTCTCTCAACTCAAGTTTCTGGGGTTGGGCGAGGGTGGGTGTGGGTGGGTGGGTGAGTTTAGACGTAAGGTCGAGATGGGGGAAATAAGGTGAAGCCACATTTAATTTATGTAAAATACCTTGATGGCCTCCCTCCATAATTTACAAAAGTCAGAGAATGAAAATAATCCATTTCTAGATTTCGTTGCATAATGGCTTTCGTTAAAGTCTGGATTTGTCCTTTGAAGACAAATTCTGCCCCAGCACAAATTTCCTTATTTTGGAAACCTGCCTAATCAAAGCAACTTAATAACTTCTAAAAGAAATGTCTCTGGAATCATGAATTCTACTTCCTAAATACTCCTTTCCAGAAACACCCCACATTTTAGCACTTATCACAGGCTACTGTTCTTGATTTCCTTAAGAAATCAAGAGAATTTTCAATACTTGGGAGACTGACTTTTATATAATTAGAATGGAAGAATCACAGTAATATCAGTTTCACTTGAAACCAATCTGGTTTCAAGAGACTCTACTGAGAGGCTCATCAGTTTTCTCATCACTCAAGTGTGTGGCCAGGAGCCATATTAACCGCACCTGAGCTAAGAGCATGCATTTCACTTTACAAGTATTTATCATCTGCTGAGGAAGACATCCTGCTAACTGGGCCTCAGTCAGAAGTCACTTTCTAGATGCAGCAGCAGTATCAACAGGACTGGTGTTGGGGTGGAAAGTGGTTCGGCAGGTCTGGCCAGCCCACCAGGTTTCAAGCACATGTGTTCTCACCTGATGTGGCAGTCAAGGGTGCCCTTTCCTCTTGGTGCCAATGTCCATAGGGACCACCCAGCTGCTGGCTGCTGTCCTGGTGTGGGTGGCACACTCCCTCCTTGGGGTACAAGCCCCCAACCAAAGCCTTCACTGAAAGGGTTGGTCCGGAGCGGGGGTGGGGGGGTGNGGATCAAACCTGTGCCCCCTGCATTGGAAGTGCAGTCTTAATCACCAAGGAAGTCCAACTGGAATCTGTTTGTTTCCATGAAATGGCCCCTGCACAGGCCACCTGACTGCTCCACTGATTGGCTGTTTCCATTTCTTCTCTCCCTCTCCTCGGGTCTCTCGATTCCCTGAGACACAGCAATATTGAAATTAGGACAATTAATAATGCTATGATAGTCTCCAACTGTTCAAGTGAAAGAAAGAGTTCAGTGTCTCTCACTTTAAATCAAAAGCCAGAAATGATTCGGCTTAGTGAGAGGAAAAGATTCTGATGCTGGGAAAGATTGAAGGCAGGAGGAGAAGGGGGCAACAGAGGATGAGTTGGTTGGATGGCATCGCCGACTCAGTGGATATGAGTTTGAGCAAACTCTGGGAGATGGTAAAGGACAGGGAAACCTGGCATGCTACAGTCCACAGGATCACAAAGAGTTGAACACAACTTAGTGATGGAACAACAACAGTGAGAGGAAGGCGTGTTGATAGCTGAGACAGGCCAAAAGTGAGGCCTCTTGCAGCAGTTAGCCAAGCTGTGAATGCAAAGAAAAAATTCTTGAAGGAAATTAAAAGTGCTACTCCAGTGAAAACACAAATGAGAAGAAAGTGAAGCAGCTTTTTTGCTGATCTGGAAAAAGTTTTAATAGTCTAAAGGTCCAACCAGCCACAACGTTCCCTTAATCAAGGCCTAACCCAGAGCAAGGCCCTAACTCTCTTCAATTTCATGAAGGCCGAGAGGCGAGGAAGCTGCAGAAGAAAAGTTTGAAGCCAGCAGAGTTGGTTCATGAGGTTTAAGAAAAGAAGCCATTTCCAAACCATAAAAGTGCAAGGTGAAGCAGCAAGTGCAATGTGGAAGCTGCAGTAAGTTATCCAGTAGATCCACCTGAGATGGTTAACAAAGGTGGCTGCACTAAACAACAGATTGTTGATGTAGATGCATGTTGGAGGACAAAGGGAACAGAAAATGCCCACCTAACTGAGAAGGTATCTTGAGACTGAAAAATTAGGCAGGAAGCTCCATAAAATCAATGGATCAGTTTATTATACGGTATCTTCCAGGGTGGGATCAGGTAGACAATTTGGAAGCATTCCACACCGCTGAGGAGCCTCTGGCACAATTTTATAATTAACCTCGAATATAGAGATATGTGCTTAGAAATAGGATGTGCATTCCTAAGTCAAGATTTATGGTAGGTAACTAGTCTCTTGGGACTTCCCAGGTGGCACTAGTGGTAAAGAATCCACCTGCCAATGCAGGAGACACAAGAGATGCAGGTTCGATCCCTGGACTGGGAAGATCCCCTGGAGGAGGGCATGTCAATCCACTCCAGTATTCTTGCCTGGAGGATCCCATGGACAGAGAAGCCTGGTAGGCTATGGTCCATAGGGTCTCAAAGAGTCAGACATGACTGAAGCAATTTAGCACTAGTCTCATGGGCACCAGGAATACATCAGGGAAGGACTAGAGAGCATTGAGGCAAACTGGTCCTGATGATTCCTAAACAATATCTATTAACTACAAAGCCTTTGATGACAGAGAAATGATTCAGTGCACAGCACAGTCCTGGGTAAGGTCAGCAAAGTGCAGTGCAAGTTGCTCAGTTGTGTCCGACTCTTTGCGACCCCCATGGACTGAATTCTCCAGGCCAGAATACTGGAGTGGGTAGTTTTTCCCTTCTCCAGGGGATCTTCCCAACCCAGGGATCGAACCCAGGTTTCCTGCATTGCAGGCAGATTCTTTACCAGATGAACCACAAGGTCAGTATAAAGGACAGGAGAAACTCTTAAGTGTCCAAATGGCATCAGTTATGCCAACAGTCAAGAAACAAAACAGTCTTAGAAGGGGATGTCATCCAGGACTTTTATAGCCAGAGAGAGGAAATCAGTGGCTGGTTTTGAAGCTTCAAAGGACAGGCTGACTCTCTTATTAGGGGCTAATGCAACTGGTAACTTAAAGTTGAAACTAATGCTCATTTGCCATTCCCCAAACCCTAGGGCCCTTAAGAATTATGCTAAATCTACTTTGCCTGTGCTCTATAAATGGAACAACAAAGCCTGGATGACAGCACATCTGTTGACAACATGATTTAATGAACATTTTAAGCCCACCATTGAGATTGCTGCTCAAAAAAAAAAAAAAGATTAAACAACAAAATATTGCTCATTGACAATGCACCTGGTCAACCAAGAGTTCTGATAGGGATGTATGGTGAGATTCACACTGTTTTCATGCCTGCTAACACATCCATTCTGCACCTTGTAGATCAAGGAGTAATTCTGGCTTTATGTCTTATTATTTTAAGAAATATATTTTGTAAATTTCATAGATAGTGATTCCTCTGATGGATCTGGGCAAAGTCAACTGAAAATGTTCTGGAAAGGATTCACTATTCTAGATGCCATTAAGAACACTCGTGATTTATGGGAGAAGGTAAAAATATCAACATTAACAGGAATTCAGAAGAAGTTTATTCCAGTTCTCATAGATGACGTCAGTGGGGGAAGTAATTGCAGATGTGATGGAAACAGCAAGAGAACTAGAATTAGACATGGAACCTGAAGATGTGACTCAACTGCTGCCATCTTATGATAAAACTGTAATGGGTGAGGAGTTGCTTCTTATGGATGAGCAAAGAAAGTGGTTTCTTGACATGGAGCCTACTCCTGGTGAAGGTGCTATGAAGGCTGGTGAAAGGACAACAAAGAATTTAGAATACGACATAAACTTAGGTGACAAAGCAGCAGCAGGGTTTTGAGAAAGTTGATTCCAATTTTAAAAGAAGTTCTAATGTGGTTAAGATGCTATCAAACAGCATTGCAGTCATAGAGAAATGATTCATGAAAAGAAGAGTCAGTCTGGCAAATGTCACTTGACTTATTTTAAGAAATTGCCACAGCCATGCAACCTTAAGCAACCACCACCCTGATCAGTCAATGGCCATCAACAATGAGGCAAGATTCTCCACCAGCAGAAAGATCATGACTTGCTGAAGGCTCAGGTGATGGTTAGCATTTTTTAAGCAATAAAGTAATTTTTAATTAAGGTATGTATTTTTTAAGAGATAATGCTATTGCACATTTAATAGCCTACACTATAGTATAAACATAACCTTTATATGCACCAGGAACCCCAAAATGAATAGACTCACTTTATTGTGATATCTGCTTAATTGTGGAAGTCTGGAACCAGACTCACAGTATTTCTGAGGTCTGCCTGTATTTGCTCAGTCACTCCTCACATCTGACCAAGTATAAATGGGTTTCTAGTCCTTGCAAATGCCCTTGACTAGAATATCTTCCAGACTGGACTAAATAGCCACATTTAATTTCTAACACTTGGACCCAAGTCAGTCACTGCTCTAAGCTAAATTACTATCTTTCCCTAAGCGTGTTTGGCTGCATTTTGTTAGAAAAGTCCAAACTACTTTCTGATGTGTAACAGAAGGAGTGAATTACATTTAAATTCTGTTCTCAGACTTTAAAATAATATGTTATTTTATTCATTAAACAATGAATGCCTACATGTTATGTACAAAAAAGAAGCCTATTTATTGGTAATTAGGATTTAAATCTTTTGATATATTTTTTTAGTTCCTGCCTGTTAGAGAAGCATTTTAGTCAGGTATTTAAATTTTTCTCCTCCTCCATCTGTACTCTGAGGGTTTTTTTTCTTTTCTTTTTTTAAAAATCACGAATCCAACAATATCCTATCCATTCTTTCATCAAGAATGCCCAGAAATTATACATGCCCTTCTGCTGAATTCTTAAATTAACAAATGCACAATGTAACTTCTGGCACCAGAGAACTGATTCCTACATAATCCACCCTGTCTTAGTCATTAATCAGCTCAGGTTGCTTGTTTGGATCCATGGCACTAAGAGAAGAATACACCCCTAAAGTCTTCAACTGCAGTGGAGAACCCATTTCCTTGATGGCACTCTCTAGAAAAAGCCAAAATGGTTTTCTTTTCATGAACTCAGAAAACTCACATCAAAACTAGTTCCAAAAAATGTTTATTATGCCACAAATGCATTGTCCTCTATACACCGTATTCAACATCTTTTTCCTTTGCAAGAATGTAGGGAGTCCCTCATATAACCCTTGTCTACTTTTTAAACTTCCTAGCACAGTTCAAGAAACGCATCACAGACAAGTGTTCAGGCAGCATGGTGAAATGGAAAGCAAGCCTGATCACGAGTAAGTGGGCTCAGGGCTGAAGGCCTTGGGCAGGTCACTCCCCTTCTCCGAGCGCTGGCTTCCTTCTTGGAGGTCACCAAAGGTCCTCTTGTTCTTCAAGGTTTCTTCAACTGTCTGGAGGATCATGAGGAACACAGAGTCTCTGGGCTCTCATGGCACTTCTGAACACTTGCCTTTTCTCAAGGCCAGCCATCCAGGTCTCTGTCATCTCCTGACAGTCAGGAGACTCTTCAGAAAAGGGACCCCCATCGTAGTCACAGGACATCAAACAATGGCGGCCATCTTTGCATTGGTGGGACAACATGGACCACACTGATTTCTTCTCACCTTAAGGTTTTCCTCCCATATACTGCTCTTAAACCTGTGGAGTCTAGTTTAAGAGCGTGTCTGACTTCGCATGCTATATTTGTAGTCATCTCCACTGACTGACTCGGAATCTCACGGGACCCTGCACAGCTCACCACGATTTTTCAGCGTCCTCTAGCCAACTGGAGCCAGACCACTGCACACTGTGGGCTCCTCCTCTGAGTCACTGGGACATCCAAAGTGCAGACACTGTCTTGGAAGCATGTGTATATATTTAAATTACACTAAGGTCTTAAAACCTCATTTTCACATACAGTATTTCCAAGCATTTACCAAGTAGACAAAGTACTGGGTTGATATCATTGCACTGATGAGATAGTAATATCATTGATAAGGCGGGACAATGTAGCTGACTTTATCAGACTCATACCGTTTGCATGAAAAGGCTGAGTTTCTTTGGCTCTTTGTTCATTCAAGTGCACTGAATACCTATTTGGATAGACTTAGGCATTGTGTTAATCTGTCAATAAAATCTTGCACTGTCCACAGTGTTTGCAAACTGATTTAGGTTTTGGGTTACAACTACTGGCCATTGGTAGAAATATACCATATATACACATGGAAATTACAAAAATACATTTTATTTATAGCTGATTTTTTTTTAAGTAACAAAAAGCTAACACTATGAAAGATCAACCAGCATACCAAAAGGACGCTACCTAATATCATCCGAACAAGAGACTGGTTGGGGGGATCCATACATCATCTCCAGAACATTGCAGAAAGGGCAATTTGCCATTGAGAAATAAAAACAGCTTCTTTGAAAAGTCTGTGCTTTGACAGTTTGATTCTCTCACTCTTATCAGTTCCATTCCTACTCTTCTCTCAATTTGAAAATTTCCACCTTCTTCTCTCAATAAAGACCAAAGAAACTCATGAGGAGAATGGCAGGATGGACTCAGAGGAGATGAATACAAGCTGAAGCTAGATGGATCATGGGTGAAGGCGGGAAAGGACCTCACTCCCCAACAGACACCACGAAAGCCCTTGACATTGAGCACGGCTCCCAAAGTTGGTGATGGAAGCAGGGTGTCCCTCCCCCTGGGCTACCCGAAGTCAGCATTGACAGTCAGCAGCCGGTGCCTCAGGGCTGCAAGGCAATGTCCACCCAGAGCTCTGGAGGCTGACCTACCATGCCAGGAAGCCTAACTTACAGCATCATGGTCACGAGGTCAGAAGCCCGCCACTGTGGCAAATGTCCTCCTATGTCTATTAACTATAGGGACAAGTATGGGAGGGGACTGGCTAACTCCATACACCTTTAAAAATGTTATTTACATTTGAACGTAAATCAACAGATTTTCTACATTCAGAAGCGTCTATAAACAGAGGCTGCAGCCTGGGGAGACTGGGTTCACTATTCCTGCTTCCAACAGGCATCAATGACTATTTATTTCCTTTTGTATCACTGGGCAGCACATGCTGGACATCATTGTTGAAGAGACAGAGATTTCCTTGTAAAAGTCGATGTATCTATTGTCCCCCCCAAAAGAGAGAAGCTCTGTTCTCAGGCTACCTTCACTGCAGGGCAAAAAAAAGCTGTTTTTCTTTTGTAGGATCCTAAAAGCTCTTAGCACCGATGCTCTTCGAGCTAGAGCCCAACTTGCAGAATACTCTATTTCCAACATGACAACACCTTTTCAAAGAACCTGTCAACACGAATCCACCATTCCCTCTTATCTTCTCTCTTTCTTGGCCTTTGTTGAATTAATTAGGGGTGGGGGAAAGAGTCAGGATTATGTTTAGGTGCAGCCATTGACAGTCCTGATTTTCATCCAATTTATTTGACTTTGAATATGAACCTTTAAAAGAAAAGGACTCAAGTTTCTTGGCTGGAGTCGGTGTCTCCCTTGGAGACTGGAGGTGACTGGATAATTATAGTTCTGGCCGAATGAGAGAACAGTCTGGGGCTTCATCACACGCCTGCATTGCCTTTAACACAGAAACAGAGTTAACATGCAGAGGTCACTGAAGATAGAGCTGTGCTCTCCCCCTTCTGATGACCTGTTAAAATGTGGTATTGGACAGGAATCTGCAGATTAGCAAGCGTCTCCTCTCTCGAGACTAACGCTCCATAGGAGAGGGAATACACCCACAGCTCAAACAGTTAACGTAACAGAGTATCAAACATATGGTCCCACATGCGGACTTGTTGACATACAATCAGTTGAATAGGCCAAGCATCCCGTTGTTCAAGAGTTTCCTGCTCCCCAGAAGCCCCTCTGTTCACCTTTTTAGAAACTGAGGGTGAGAAAGACTCCCACATCGTCTCCTGTCTCCAGTCCCACCATGCCTGGAGAAACCCAAAGCCTGCTTCCTCAGAGTCTGGAAGTCTCAAGGGGTGAAGGCATTAGACCTGGAACTCGAACATGTCTGTCTGTTTCTTGGCAAGCTTGGCCACCTCTTCCCGGATGGCCTTCACCAGGGCTGCCGTGGAAATGTTGGTGAGGGGGGTGTCGGATGGGTCGTTGTCCGCCAGGCTCTGCTGTGAGGCTGCTGTGGAGGGCACCGGGGCCTGCTCCAAGCTGGGGTGCAGCCCAGCTGGCTGGCTGTACTGACGAGGGAGCCTGGAGGGCGAGTTCTGCTGATACCGGGATCGGGGGTAAGCCTCGATGTACCCCGGGAGGGGGACCTGCAGAGCATGTCGGGAGAGAAGACAGGGCCAGGTATCAGGAATGGGCTCAAGTCATAGGATACACTAGATACCAAAGGAGGAGGGCATTGAGGACAATGAAGGAGATTTACAAGAAAAGGAAGGCAACTCGCCATTGCGCAGATATAAAAGCTAGGCGACTTGGACTCACTGGTTCTGCTGGTTGGATGAATTAAATAGGCATTTTACACTTTGTGCAAACAGTGGGTACATACCCAGTCTACATCTGAATCTATAAGCACCATCTAGGCAGAGAAGTATTGTTCTTTAAGGACCTCAAAGGACTCAGGGATTTATTACTAATGACAACAGTTAATGCTGAATGAGCCCTGTGCTAAGGGCTTTCCAATCATGATCTCATTTAATTCTCAAAGCAGTTCCCCTAGGAGGTAGGTATTGTTACCCTTATTTTACAGAAGAGGAAACAAAAACAAACAGTGTCTCAGTCAAAGCTGCCACAGCTAACAAGCCACAGAGACAGGCTGGCTTCAAGGCTGAGAGTTAATCACTGAACTATCACATCATGTGTCTGGAATATGATCTTGGTGTCTTGAAAAAATTTTCTTTTCATTAAAAGTGGAAGATAGTTCTATGCCAATAATATGGACACTTCTAGAAATATCGGCAGGACAATGATTCAGAATTCAGGATCAACTTGCCCACAGGAACAGGGCCACACATGGGGATACTGTTTCCAGGGTAATCCACAAAAGATCTTTATATTCCATAATGCAACTTGCATCACTGTGAGATAAGTGCCCATGGATCACGTAGGCCCTGGGGTGCTGCAGGGGATGGGACATATGTGGGCAGTAAGGCAGCTTTCCAGGAGAAGCATCTTAGCTGAGTCTGGAGAGGAGACGGCAAGGATGGAGAGGCTGTTTTGCAGAAGACACAGTGGAAGGGGCATTCCAGGCAGAGGGAGAGCCATGCAGAGGCCTGGCAATACATGGAAGACAGCGTCCCCACGGAGGTTCAGTAAGGTGGTCTGGCCACAGAGGGTGTGTGTGGTGTGGGAGGAGGTCAGGAAGAAGGGTGGGCAGGACCAGATCAGAAAGCCGCTGAACCCCAGGCTACCAAGTTACGTTTTCTACGGCCCACTTCTGAGGAATTCAGCATGTTCCTATTCTTTACAGAGATGGGTGTGTGGTAGCTGGTGAGGATGGAGTGGGATGAGGTTGGGTGATGATTCAGAAATTCTGGGTGGGTGAACATGTAGTAAGAAAGCAGGCCCCTCCTAGTCCCTGTCAGAGGTTCTGATGAGCCTCCTGAGAAGGCCTGGCCTGGGAGCCACCAGGGGTGTCAGGCAGAGGAAAGGTCTGTACTGTAGGAAGGAACACTCTGGAGGAGGTGGACCCACTGGAGGTGGTGAGGAGACAGGATCTGAGGCTACCTCAATGGGCCTGGTGAGAACCAGGGAGGACCCGAATAAAGAAAGAAGTGACGGGATATCCCAAAGTTTGGGGCTTTAATTTCCCTACAAGACCTGGCAAAGAAAGACAAAGCTGCAAATACATTGCACTTGCATCTTAGAGGAAAACTGGAGTCAGAATGCCCAAGTCCTTGGGCCATGTGAGCTGGGGACACACTGGTAATTAACTGGGGGAACAGAGCGCCAAGGCCAGGACACAGGATTTGCCTGTCAGGTCTCAGCTCACCCTCCTTTTCTTCTGAGAGACCTTCCCCAGCTCTGTGTTAGTCAAGGACTCCCTGTAAATTCCTTCCATGCACTTTGTCTAGCATAACTAGTCATCACTCATGACTTCATCACCCATCTCAGGCATCGACTTGTGAAGGTGAAACTGTGTCTCACCTGCTTATCACTGTGCACCAGTGCCCCGAACTGTGCATGGTACACAGAGGGGAGTGTCTTAGGACCCAGGGTTCTGAGCAGCATGATTTGAAAATCATTGAAGGATAGGCACCTGGCGCCCTATGTTTGTGAAAGAAGCTGCCGTGTCCCCTTTCCCTGGACTTCAAGCTCAGCTGGAGCTGAGGGTCACTGTCCAACTATGAGACCTCCCAGCTCTGCAGCATTAACTGACTTGGTGCTGGTGGCTGGGACAGGCCGGGGGTACCTGACTCCACTGGCGCAGTTCAGTTCAGTTCAGTCGCTCAATCATGTCTGACTCTTTGCGACCCCATGGACTGCAGCACACCAGGCCTCCCTGTCCATCACCAACTCCTGGAGTTTACTCAAACTCATGTCCATTGAGTTGATGATGCCATCCAAGCATCTCATCCTCTGTCGTCCCCTTCTCCTCCTGCCCTCAATCTTTCCTAGCATCAGGGTCTTTTCAAATGAGTCAGTTCTATGCATCAGGTGGCCAAAGTATTGGAGTTTCAGCTTCAGCATCAATCCTTCCAATGAACATTCAGGACTGATTTCCTTTAGGATGGACTGGTTGGATCTCCTTGAAGTCCCAGGGACTCTCAAGAGTCATCTCCAACACCACAGTTCAAAAGCATCAGTTTTTTGGTGCTCAGCTTTCTTTATAGTCCAACTCTCACATCCATACATGGCCACCAGAAAAACCATAGCTTTGACTAGACGGACCTTTGTTGGCAAAGTAATGTCTGCTTTTTAACACGCTGTCTAGGTTGGTCATAACTTTTCTTCCAAAGAGCAAGCATCTTTTAATTTCATGGCTGCAGTCACCATCTGCAGTGAGTTTGGAGCCCAAAAAAATAGTCTGTCACTTTTCCCATTTGCTTCCCCATCTATTTGCCATGAAGTGATGGGACAAGATGCCATGATCTTAGTTTTCTGAATGTGGAGTGTTAAGNTTTTGAGCATTACTTTGCTATCATGTGAGATGAGTGCAATTGTGCAGCAGTTTGAGCATTCTTTGGCATTGCCTTTCTTTGGGACTGGAATGAAAACACCTTTTCCAGTCCTATGGCCACTGCTGAGTTTTCCAGATTTGCTGGCATATTGAGTGTAGCACTTTCACAGCATCATCTTTTAGGATTTGAAATAGCTCAACTGGAATTTCATCATCTCCACTAGCATTGCTTGTAGTGATGCTTCATAAGGCCCACTTGACTCTGCTCCAGGATGTCTGGTTCTAGGTGAGTGATCACACCATCGCGGTTATCTGGGTCATGAAGATCTTTTTTGTATAGTTCTTCTGTGTGTTCTTGCAGCTCTGCCACCTCTTCTTAGTATCTTCTGCTTCTGTTAGGTCCATACCATTTCTGTCCTTTGCATGAAAGGTTCCCTTCAGAAATGCGGAAGATGAGGAGATGACATACTCTTCCTCTCTTACAGGAGATGCAGTTGGGACCCATCACACTTTGTGGACCAAAATCCAGGACTGGCAAACATCACTCCTTGCCTAGCCAGTGCCCATGGCAGGCATCCCCTATAGACGACAGCAGTTTCCTGCTGAGCCTGGTAACTCCTTCCCAATCCCTCTCCATCTAGCACCAAGAATGAAATCTGTTTATCAAGCCAGGTCCAGGTGTTATGCAAGCTAGCTCCTGACATTTGGATACCTGGAATCAGGAAGGCCAGACATCCAAATGATGCAGGTGTGCGTGCATGCAAAGTCACTTCAGTCATGTCTGACTCCGTGCGACCCTTATGGTCTGTAGCCCGCCAAGCTCCTCTGTCCATGGGATTCTGCAGGCAAGAATACTGGAGTGGGTTGCTATGCCCTCCTCCAGGGGATCTTCCCAACCAGGGATAGAACCCATGTCTCTTAAATCTCCTGCATTGGCAGTCGGGTTCTTTACCACTAGCACCAGCTGATGGTAGGCACTTTTTGCTTCTCACATGGATGTAGTTGTTGTTCAATTGCTAAGACACGTTGGACTCTTTGCGACCCCATGGACTACAGCACACCAGTCTTCCCTGTCCTTCACCATCTCCTGGAGTTTGCTCAAACTCATGTCCATTGAGGCGGTGATGCCAGAGGGTGAACATTGTCTCCAATGGAATATCTTTCTCAAGCTGACAACCAGTCCCTCTGAACCTCCTGTACAGTCTTTCAAATGCGATAAAGCACCTGACCTCCCAACTGGCTACTGTGTTCCATGCAAGAGGCCATACCTGCTTACCTGCAGATGGTAACTGGGCTCCATGAAAGACCCATCTAGGCTGTAGCAATCATTTTTCTCTTAAAAACAGCTAATAGGAAACTAGCTCTCCCTCACACTGGGGATGGGGGTGGGAGAGTGCGGTGATCAAGTCATCCTCTCCAAAAGATGAGGTTTTGATTTGCTGGGTTCCCTTTCCTTCATCTTTAAGGCAACACGAACCCAGAGGCATCTGAGTTATGTCGCCATAGCCTGGCTAAGTGTTACTTGTAAGTATCTTGAAGGCAAGGGCCAAGGTTTTGTAAACACCTCTGCTGGCTCCTGCCAAGCACCCAGCCCCAGCGCACTCTGCTCAGAGGGTGAGCTGACAAAGCTGCAGGTATACTGCCTAATTAGCACAAGTTAAGTATCATCTACTTTCTGAAAGTACACATTATGTTTAGATTGCAAGTGGAATTATGGAGTCAAATAAAATCTGAACTGATCAACGCACACCCCGTGATTTCAGCTGTTTAGAAGAGCTGAGCATGACAAAGGAAGCAAAATAGGCCCACTAACAACCAGAACACAGGCCAAACACTCCCACACTAAGATGTGTAGACCTATCAGTAGGGAATGCCTCTAGTTACTCTCTTAGAGCTTATTTACTCCAACTCTACAAACAACTCTGCTGAGCTCAGACATGCCTCATTTGCAGATAATAGTACATTAGTAAAAGCGTATTTAAGGGCGAGTATATCTGAAAGTGGGGACACTGGCAGCAATAGAAGGAGTGAGCTGGGAGCAAGGTCAGAGAAAGAAAAACCATACTAAGCCCTGGAGTAATTCCAAAAAGCAGAGTTTGGAGATGTTTGACGTAGAAGTAATTCTACAAACCATCAGAGCCCATCTTACAGACATCATTTTAGTACAGTGAGGCATAATAATGACATTGACTCATTTGTTAAAAACAAATTAAATTATGTTTTTCTTCTAAAGAAGGGGAGAAGGATGTAATTCATTCCAGAATCTTAAAATTCAAGGTAGCACATATTTTAAAGATATTTTGGCAATTAAAGGGATGAACTTTTTTTTAAAGATAACTTTTCTAATATACAATTTTAATTTATTAATTTATGGCGGTGCTGGGTCTTCATTGCTGCGTGGGCTTTTTTCTAGTTGTGGAGAGCGGGAGCTACTCTCTCTTTGCACTACACAGGCCTCTCATTGTGGTGGCTTCTCTTGTTGAGAAGCACGGGCTCTAGAGCACAGACTCAATAGTTGTGACATGTGGGCTTAGTTGCTCTGTGGCATGTGGAATTCTCCCAAATCAGGGATCGGGAGACACAATGCATGTGTCTCCTGCATTAGCAGGCGGATTCTTTAACGCTGAGCCACCATGGAAGCTCAGGGATAATTTGATCATCAGGAAAATTAATAAATATGTAGGGAAGTTTTACCCTGATGATGTTGTTTAAATGTGGCATCACTACAATAAGAGCAGACACCAATGCTGGGGCTGAACTGAACCTGTAGGGGTAGACAGTATGGACCCTAAGGGTCTGGACAGAGAGAAAAGCTGACACAGGCCTTGGGTGTCAATGTGTACTGACAAACGCTGAAATAAACCCTAAAATGAATACAGCACCACGGGCCTTCAGACGACAGCCTGCCTTTCTTATCCATGATGGATGGTCTCACACAGGGACTGCAGCAACCCACTCTAGGGGCCATCACTGTGCTATTTTTGTTTGCTTGTTTTTGTTTTTCATTTGGCAGTGCTTTAACAGGTGGCCGAAAGGCAGGTTTGGGTGTGCATGTTCAGGTTCAGCTTGTCACTGCCCCTCTTTGGTCTAGGCTGGGTCAAGTCAACTGTGCCATAAACTCCTAGTCATATAAGGAAGAAACCAGCCGACTGTGACAGGACAGTCTTCAGCTGAAGACATGCAGAAAGCCTTTGGATCTACATGCAAAGTAGTTCCGTCCTGGGTTTCTAATACTTTTTCTGGTATTGCATCTAAATTTCTTACAGGATTTTAAAGTTGAAAGGAACAAACTTAGTAAAGGCTTTGGAGCTGGGAAGAAGCAGGTCTGAATGCTGGATACGTCATGGGAACAACAATAATACCTACATGATGGGTCTTGTGTAGGCTAAGACAACATATATAAAACATCTAACATGGTGTCTGGCACATAGAAAATACTCAAAAAATGACAGTGAATATAAAAATGTATTTGATATAGGGTGCCCTCCAGGAAGAGNGGCTCAACTCCCCTTGCAGAGCCTCACCAACTCCCCCATCCCCATCCCACACCTCTGATCTGCTGGCAAGAGGGAATGACACCTTGGTGCTAGGGGTTTTCCTCCCAGAAGGATGGGTGTTTTTAAAGAGCCAAGAAGAAGGAACCAAAAGGAATGGGTTTCACTGGTAGAATTTCTGGACACACTATGCTTTAATAAGTGTTGACAACTGGGTGTTTTAGCCTAAAAGGAATGGTTTGACTAAAAGAAAAAACCCATTAGGGCATGTCCAAACTTCCATGTTCACTGTTTGTAAAAGCAAAACACTGGAAACAACCAGTATGTCCCTCATTAGGGGACAGGATAAACTGGCATATCACATAATGGAATACCATATGGCAGTGTAAACAAATGAACTAGATCAATATGAGTATAGCAACCCGGAGAACCCTTGCTAACAATGTTTAGTCAAGAAAATAGTGCAAAAGGAAAGGTATAACTTGACATCACTTATGTAAATTTAAAATATATACAGCATTAACACAGTGTACTGTTGTAACTAGTGAAACGTTACCTACAACTTAAGGACTGTGATCACCTCTGGGGAGAAGTAGAATGAGTTGCGGGTAGACAGTTATATCTGGAATGCTTTTTTTAAAGGTCTGAGGTCTGGAAAGATACTAACATCCACCCTGACTGTAATATATCTTAGTATTTTGTCAGATTTCAGATGTTGTAAACAAATAAAAGCAATAGCTCTTCTAGCCAGGGCTACAGGGGATCCAGAAATGCAGTCGCTTTGATCCCTGAGCCTGGCGGACCGAAGGTGGAGAGCACGGAAGGCAAATACAGAGGTGGAGGGGGTGATGCTGGGGCAGGGCGCCGGCTTCTTCCAGGCTTCTCTCCTCTAGCCCACCTGAGTAATTTAAAGCCGACTGATCCAGCTGCGCCACGGACACGGGGCCTCGGGACACCTGCGCGAAGGAGGCGCTGTCGTGCAGCTGGGCGGCCTCGGGCCCCGCGGACTCGGCCATCCTGGTCTTGCTGCCAACGTCCGAAGTGGACCTGGGCGGGGAGAGAGGCCACCTTACCGCCTGCCCGGCCCGCGGCCCGCGGGCTGAGGCGGGGCTCCCGGGGCAGGTCACCGCCGGGGAAGCGGGGGAGCGCCTCGGCCTCTGAGCGACCGGACTGCTGGGTCCTCGAGCCTGAGTTTGCAGCCCGCCGGCCCCCCGGTGACAAAGGGGGCCTACCCGCCCAGACCTGGAGCAGCCGTCGCGGTGGCCCGAGCTGGAGTCATTTTTAGACATTCAAGGTCAGTGCTCCCCTGTAGGTGACTCCTGTGTCTCTGGGGAGTAGAGCACTTCATCTCCACATAAAAATGAGCCAAGCAATTAGCACTGGGTCTTAGCTGGGGATGGTCAACCTGGCAGGCGATGACATCACCGGCAGCCAATGGGAAGGCTTCGTCTGGAGAGCGGCAGCAGGAAGCAAGAAGCCCCAGGCTCCGGAAGCTCCGGCTGGGGTATGCTCTCTGCTCTCTGGAGCATGAGCTTAGGGCTTGCTGGGTGTTATGAATGTGAGAACACGTTTTTGTTTTTAAGTTCCATAGGTAAGCAGAGAATCTGGCCCGCTTAACACCCATTTCCACTTAGTGCTCAGAAAGCCAGGTAAGAAGAGGGGGCTGGGGTGGGGGCACCCGCCTCTCCCCCCAGTATAAAGGGTGCTTTAGCCCGTCTGTCTTCTCTTTGGCAGAGGCATTCGGCTTTCCTAAAATTCAGATGGAAGGAGGCAAAAACAGCCCCAGCGGGTGGCGGGCTGCCAGCCCACAGGGCCACCTTCTGCGCAGGGGCGCAAGGGAGCAGGGCAGGAGGCAGGGGTCTGAGTCCTAACTACCTCCTCTCTCTGAGCCCCAGTTTCTTCAGAGGGGAGGGTGACTCCATCTCAGAGGTCCTCTCTGGTCCAACCCTCTGGGTTCCTATGGAGGGCAGTGACCTCCTGATACTTGGCAAGGACGGCAGATGGTGCAGAAGGACATGAGAGGAGAAATAAGTAGGTTCCCGCCTTCAGCAAATGTAGCATGAATCACCGATGACAAGCTCCTCCAATTCAGAACCCTCAGGAGTAACTATTCCCCAGGGAGGGTCAGACACAGGCTGTGAGGATTAAATTGCACATGAGGTGGGTGTGAGGCGGGGCTCCCGGGGCAGGTCACCGCCGGGGAAGCGGGGGAGCGCCTCGGCCTCTGAGCGACCGGACTGCTGGGTCCTCGAGCCTGAGTTTGCAGCCCGCCGGCCCCCCGGTGACAAAGGGGGCCTACCCGCCCAGACCTGGAGCAGCCGTCGCGGTGGCCCGAGCTGGAGTCACTTTTAGACATTCAAGGTCAGTGCTCCCCGTGGGTGACTCCTGTGTCTCTGGGGAGTAGAGCACTTCATCTCCACATAAAAATGAGCCAAGCAATTAGCACTGGGTCTTAGCTGGGGATGGTCAACCTGGCAGGCGATGACATCACCGGCAGCCAATGGGAAGGCTTCGTCTGGAGAGCGGCAGCAGGAAGCAAGAAGCCCCAGGCTCCGGAAGCTCCGGCTGGGGTATGCTCTCTGCTCTCTGGAGCATGAGCTTAGGGCTTGCTGGGTGTTATGAATGTGAGAACACGTTTTTGTTTTTAAGTTCCATAGGTAAGCAGAGAATCTGGCCCGCTTAACACCCATTTCCACTTAGTGCTCAGAAAGCCAGGTAAGAAGAGGGGGCTGGGGTGGGGGCACCCGCCTCTCCCCCCAGTATAAAGGGTGCTTTAGCCCGTCTGTCTTCTCTTTGGCAGAGGCATTCGGCTTTCCTAAAATTCAGATGGAAGGAGGCAAAAACAGCCCCAGCGGGTGGCGGGCTGCCAGCCCACAGGGCCACCTTCTGCGCAGGGGCGCAAGGGAGCAGGGCAGGAGGCAGGGGTCTGAGTCCTAACTACCTCCTCTCTCTGAGCCCCAGTTTCTTCAGAGGGGAGGGTGACTCCATCTCAGAGGTCCTCTCTGGTCCAACCCTCTGGGTTCCTATGGAGGGCAGTGACCTCCTGATACTTGGCAAGGACGGCAGATGGTGCAGAAGGACATGAGAGGAGAAATAAGTAGGTTCCCGCCTTCAGCAAATGTAGCATGAATCACCGATGACAAGCTCCTCCAATTCAGAACCCTCAGGAGTAACTATTCCCCAGGGAGGGTCAGACACAGGCTGTGAGGATTAAATTGCACATGAGGTGGGTGATGGGGGACCAGGCCAGTGGGGTCCCTCTTCCTTTCTCCTTCTCTCCTTTTCTCACTCCCACAGCTCTGGCTTCTCATGTGCTGTTTCTAGGCATCAGCTACTCCTTTAGAAAACCATCCTGGGAAAATCCCTGGATTTTGCTCCGCACACGTGGCCACCTTTGAGGACTCCCAGATCATTTAGGCTCTTGCTCTCATTTGACAGATAAGGAGAGAGGAGCCAGACAGGTGAGGCACCATGCTTGGGGTTAAACAGCAGGCTACAGGCTGGTAAGGTGGAACCCTGGTCTGCTATCCCCACCCCCCTACTCTGAGCTTGACTGGGGTCAAAGGGGGATGCCTACATATAGTTCAGCATCCTAAACTGCTGGAAATGAAGGGAGGGTTGTTTCTGAGGAAAACTCATTTCTTTTCACCATTTTCACAAAGTTCAGACCTGTGGCCCACATAGAGTGTGACAAGCACTTTGGGGGAGGCCAGGGCAGTGGCCCATATGGACCCCAAGGCACAGTATCTCTCCAAGCCCTGGACATATTGACTATTCCAACCTCCCCCAGTGCTCTTGGCTGTTGTTTCCTGTCTGTATTTAAAGCATATGCTTTTTATAGTATTACAGAGCAAAGAGAATGCCGAATATATGCTTCCCAGCTAACCTGTCCAAGTTCATGTACTTTCAGCCTCCCCATCCTGGAAGGCAAGAGTTAGGGCAGGAGTCTGGACACACTGCTCCCCAGCCTCTTGGACACCACCCCTCAGTAACAAAGGGTCTTCTGATGCACACACCTGCAGGAGGTGCCCAGACTTGAGGCAGCTGTTGTGACGGCCCAAACTGGAATAATTTTTAGATGCTCTATGTCAAGGCATGGGGTTTTCAGGGTATGGGGCAATTGACCTTGGGTTTTTTCAATTGTGGGTTCTACAGGACTTTCCATTTTCAATGGTAAGAAAGTAGGCCAACCCTCTGTGGCCCCCACTTCTTTCATTGCATTCAAGGTACCCTGGTCACATGGTTGTCTGTACAGGTGATGCACCCCTGAATGGGGCAGGGCATGAAGGAAATATGTCAGGACAGGGCTCACAGCACCAAATCCTCTGCAAATATTCCAAACAAGGCAAAGAGAGGAATGTGTTACCGCCTGAGAGAAGCGACAGCCACAGGGCCCGTCCGCGGAGGCACAGGTGGAGGGGGAGAGCCCATGACCATTTCAGGAAGCTGGGAAAACCTGTAGGCCTATTGACCTTGGGTTTTTTCAATTGTGGGTTCTACAGGACTTTCCATTTTCAATGGTAAGAAAGTAGGCCAACCCTCTGTGGCCCCCACTTCTTTCATTGCATTCAAGGTACCCTGGTCACATGGTTGTCTGTACAGATGATGCACCCCTGAATGGGGCAGGGCATGAAGGAAATATGTCAGGACAGGGCTCACAGCACCAAATCCTCTGCAAATATTTCAAACAAGGCAAAGAGAGGAATGTGTTACCGCCTGAGAGAAGCGACAGCCACAGGGCCCGTCCGCGGAGGCACAGGTGGAGGGGGAGAGCCCATGACCATTTCAGGAAGCTGGGAAAACCTGTAGGCCTGCAAAAGAGACAAGCATGCAGGGAGATACATGTTAATATCTGGTGCTCATCAACACACAGGTTCTTCTTACTTTATAGAGAAGCAGACTTCAAGGGTTAGACTTTCCTTCTTTCCTCAAACGTCCCCCTTCCATCACCCTTAACATGTTTCCAGTCCCCTCTTCTATCTCATCTACCCCCACTCTTCCCGTTGGTGGGCCCTTGCAGTCACAGAGTCTTTCAGTTGGTCTTAGAATCCGCCAAGTTGTTTCCCGCCTTGGGCTTCCCCAGGAATGTTCCTCTCCTGGTTCTTCCTGTGGCTTCTTTCTTCATGTCATTCATCCAGCCCCATATTCCCTTGGAGCTCCATATTCTGTTTTATTTTTTATCATAGCAGTCGTCACTCTGGTATTATATCATTGCTTATTTATTATTCACAACAGGACTGTAATGAAGGCAAGGGATCTGTTGTCAGCTGTATCTTCACGCCTGGAACAGTGCCTGTTATATCCTGGATGGGCAATAAATATTAGATAAAGAATGAATCATTGATTGTGCTTATTTTGTCACTCATGGAAAGCGGGTTTCGTGGGGGAAAGCAATGGGTTTGGAATCAGGAAGTATGGGTGGAGGTTTGCTAATAAATAGACTTTCTGTCCCTAAGCAAGTCAGGTGACTTCTCTGGACCTCACTGTTTTCTGCTGAGATGGAGACAAGGATGCCTTGCTCAGAGGGGTGGGTGCAAAGAAGATCAGGCCAGGCAGTGTATGTGTTGTAAGTATTTTGTGATCTATAAAGCACTACTTAAAGATAAGGGATCAAAACTGTCAAGTGAAGATAATCAATTCGGGAGGGGAGAAAAGGAAAATGGTCAGAGACAGGACCAGCGAGCCAGACCATAGCCTCTGAGCAGGAGAAAATCTAGGAATGCTCTCTGCGAAGACAGAGCTTGGCTTGTGCCTCTTATTCATTTTTTTCTATAGGTATCAGGCCTGCCATATCTCTTAAGGAACAAGATGATAGGGCTTTAAACCTGAAGATATCCAAACAAAAGGTAGCAGGAGAGAGGATCCATAAACAGGATCCTTTAAAATGAATGAGGGAAAAATAAATAAATAAATAAATAAATAAATAAATAAATAAATAAAATGAATGAGGGCTTTTCCCTCCGGCATTATGGGCACCCCACATGGCACAGTGGTGAAGAATTCACCTGCCAATGCAGGAGACGAAAGAGATGTGAGTTCGATTTGATGTGAGTTTGATTCCTGGAGTAGGAAATGGCAACCTGCTCCAGTATTCATGCCTGGAGAATCCCATGGACAGAGGAGCCTGGGGGGCTACAGTTCATGGGGTCGCACAGAGTCAAACATGACTGAGCGACCGAGCACACACATTATGGCAGACTACCTACTCATAAGGGCCAACCCACTAAATAACAAGTAGATCCTAGGTAAAACATGGCTTTTAATGCATGCTGGAATTGCAAGACGTAAGGAAATCTTAAGGATTCCCACCCACTATCCACCTTCTCCCTCCCACATCACAGCAAACTAAAATAAAAACTGTGAGCTGAAGTCAGAGATGGAAACAATGAGCAGTAAACAAATAAGAAAGGTGAGATTGCCTGGAAAACAAATGCCATACTGGCAATCAATTATGAGACCAAGCCTGGGATAGGGCAAGCTGAGACAGGTAAAACTGAGCTCCTTACAGCCAACCTAGGCTCTTCTAAAATAAATAAATAAATAAATAAAATGAATGAGGGCTTTTCCCTCCGGCATTATGGGCACCCCACATGGCACAGTGGTGAAGAATTCACCTGCCAATGCAGGAGACGAAAGAGATGTGAGTTCGATTTGATGTGAGTTCGATTCCTGGAGTAGGAAATGGCAACCTGTTCCAGTATTCATGCCTGGAGAATCCCATGGACAGAGGAGCCTGGGGGGCTACAGTTCATGGGGTTGCACAGAGTCAAACATGACCGAGCGACCGAGCACACACATTATGGCAGACTACCTACTCATAAGGGCCAAGCCACTAAATAGCAAGTAGATCCTAGGTAAAACATGGCTTTTAATGCATGCTGGAATTGCAAGATGTAAGGAAATCTTAAGGATTCCCACCCACTATCCACCTTCTCCCTCCCACATCACAGCAAACTAAAATAAAAACTGTGAGCTGAAACCAGAGATGGAAACAATGAGCAGTAAACAAATAAGAAAGGTGAGATTGCCTGGAAAACAAATGCCATACTGGCAATCAATTATGAGACCAAGCCTGGGATAGGGCAAGCTGAGACAGGTAAAACTGAGCTCCTTACAGCCAACCTAGGCTCTTCTTTTGATTCAGTAATTCACACTCTGTGGACACATCAGTCCCTCTGCACCTTATTTTTTTATTATTTATTTTCCTTGTGAAATAAGGTACTGAAATACTTTGTGGGTTTCCACAAAAAAACATTTCTTTAGCCATGAAACCATTCTGACATAGCCCAAATACATAGCCAAATCAAAGCAGAACTTCTCTGGTTGAAGTTGAGGGTGGGGATGCTCTGGTGAATTTGACCCTCTGCTTACCTGCATGATGGCATCTGGGGACTCCCTGAACCCTATGGTTTTGCAGAGTTTGAAAATCATTGTCCTTCCAGCTTGGCATTCCACTATTATCAACAAACCAAAAAGTAAGGACATACCTTTCCCAAAACAGAGAAAGAGGTGTCTAGCCCCTCATCTCTCTTCTGGCCTCTCCTGATATCAGCAGAGGAGACAGACAACTTATTTTTATCCCTGGTCCTTGGAAGGAATACTCTGTAGTCAACACAGTTTTCCAGCCAAGAAAATGCATTTGGTGTCTCTGTCTTGTAACAGTTAACCAAAGAATTGATTAAAAGTTCTGAAGTTTTGGCAAGTACCAAGGGGATTTCCTTCTTTGGATGATTTTTCCAGGTACAAAGCAAGCCTGCACAGGAGATCAAGGTCTCCTTTGGTCCGTGCCCTTGGCCCTCCTGGGCAGCTACAGGGTCACATGAAAAGCAGAAAGGCCGCCTGTGCCCTGGGCTGAGGAATTCCCCCAAGGAGGGTCTTCCTTCCTTCCCCTGTGCAGTTCCCCCATGGGTCCAAGTCCTCCTGGATTTGTATTCTGGTTCCTTTTCCTTGTGTTTGGAACCCTGCCAGCTGCCTTGTGACTCAGATCTCACTGGAAGCTATTGTTCAAAACTGTTACCTTGTTCCAGGTTTCTAGATACATGACAGTGGTCCTGAGGGGCCCAGTCTGGCACCCAAGGACACCATCTTTTGGGATCCCTGTCCTCTGGCTAGAAAGATCAGGCACTCGGAACTGAAGGCAGGCTTTATAAATAGCTCTTAGGTCTCCCGGGTGTAAGAAGCCTGGATGTAACAAGAAGTAGCCACCCTTTGAGCTCAGAAGTTCGGTTGTAAAAGTAGAAGGGATGGTAACCACGGTCTGCTCAAGGTTCCCGGTCCCAATGTCCTTGGGCAGGGGGCGAGGGGGCGGGTCAGGGCCATTCTTTCCAGCAAACCCAGTGGAGAATGAGCCCAGGTGAGACCCCCTGTGTGCTCAACCCTCCTTGTGCACAGGCATCCAGCCAGAGGGGGAATCTGGTCGAGATCAACCTTTGNCATCCAGCCAGAGGGGGAATCTGGTCCAGATCAACCTTTGGCGGGGCGGGGGGCGGTTAGCGCTAGAGGGGTGACAGATCAAAGGGGGCAGCTTGCAGTTGGAGGAACAGATCAGGGTCTCAGGCTTTGCACTGGTGGGAGAGCGAGGACTCACAGGCCAAAGCCACCTAGTCTAGTTGGAGGCCACTGTCCAGGGCCAGCCAGTCAGCCCCAGGCCAGAGTGGATATGCCAGTCTTTCCATTCCTGCTGACAATGCTGGCTTCCACTGCAGGGCGCCCATTCCACCACACCACAAATACTGCTCAGCACAACCTCTGTCTACCTAAAGCCCCATACAGCTATAAATAACTTTACATCCTATTGCATGAAATAGAATCTTCCAGAGGATAGTTCTCATTTAGTTGAAAACAGGGCATGGTAACTGAAGACGGACCCCATGGTGAATGCCCAGTGTTTATCTTGGTCTCTCTGCTTACCAGGCGTTACTGAGAGCAACATTGAGGCTCTCAAGGCCCTGGGAGTCATAGAAGGTTCGAGCTGGACAGAGCAGGACACACCAAGACCTCACTCCTTACCTTAACACAGAGGGAAAAGGAAACCCAGAGAAGCGAGCTGACTTGCCCCAAATCACACGGCCAGTTTAAGGGCCCTGTCTCAAAATTCTGAGCCAAGGGTGGCGTGGTGCAGAGCACATGGGTTTGGAGTCAGACAAACTGGAGTTGAAACCTGGCTTTACCAGGCGCTTAACCTCAAGTAACTTACTTCTCTGTACCTGTTTTCTCATTAATGAAAGTAACGCAATCATACCCCCATTTCAAAGGCTGTTTAAAAGACTCATTTTATATGTTGATGTGATGTCTGGCACATAGTGGGTACTCAATAAATGATATGCTCGTCCTTCTGAGACAAGATAGTATTTTGATATAGTAACTGCAGTAACCAAGACCCTGCCACCATAATTCCTTGAATCCAGGGCCCTTCCCTTGCCCTAAGAACATCTTACCTGTCTGCCCCAGGGAAGGAAGTCCACTACCACTATAGACGGCCCAAGAGTCAACTGTTCCAGGCATTTCAAAAGCTACAACTATCAAAATGTAAGAGTTTAGGATTCTGAATATAAAAAACCTAAGCCCTTAAAGCACTCAAAGCTGATGCCAAAAGGCGCTTTGAAAGAAGTGAGGTACCTTTAGACCAGCGGTCCCTAAGCTTTTTGACACCCTGGACCTGCTTCATGGGATATAATGCTTACATGGAACTGGGGAGGGGGGCGGTTTCAGGACGATTGAAGCGTATTACATTTATTGTGCACTTTATTTCTATTATTATTACATCAGCCCCACCTCAGATCATCAGGCATTAGATCCTGGAGGTTGGCAA